CGCTAATAGCGGCGGTCGGTGGGATGTGCCCCGGGCATCTCCCCTTCCAGCCCCGGGGTATCACTCCAGCATCACCCTGCGCTGCCCGAGGAACCCCATGGCCTCTCCCCTTCTCCTCCATGGGCTGGAGGTGGGCACAGGGAACCCAGGAGCCCGTTCTGGCCCCGACACTCGAATAAAGAAACAAGAAAGGGTTGTATCCAGTTCTTTATTATCGATTCGGGGCAGAGGGATGGCACCACCTGGAGAGGCAGCTCCAGAGCTTCGGGACCTGGTATGGCCCAAGGGGGTGCAGACAGGACACGTTCCTACCCCTGTCCGTGGCATGTGTTGCCAGCAGTAGCATCAGAAGGAGGGGAGAGATTGTGGATCTCTCATACTACCATCCCAGACACTTCTCCCTCTTCCTGGGGGCTACAGTTGCAAGGCTGAGGGTCTTTTCTGTGTGCAGGTGGGTCACACTCGTGGCAGAGGTTGTGTCTGCAAAGTGGGTGCAGAGCTCCAAGGCAGGTGGAGAAGCAGCTGTGCCAGCTCTCAGCCACCTCTTTAGTCTCTGTGATAACCACAGAGCTGGCAGCATCCACCTCCCTCATGTCCCTCCTCATTCCCCATCTCCAAATGCATCATGTGGGCACACAGGAGAAAAGGGAAAGGCCTGAAACGAGCCATTGCTGGGTGATGACTTTCCTCCAGATCTGTCCCCAGGTGCTGGTGGGACGGTGACTTACTGCTGAGGCTCAGGCTCGTACTGCTTCTCCGTGGCGGTGTAAAAGTCCTCGAGGACCGACTGCAGGTATTCAAAGGTCGGACGGTCCTCGGGCTTGTTTCTCCAGCATTTCAGGATGATATTGTAGAGTTCAGCGGGACACATGTCTGGGCAGGGCATACGATAACCCCTCTCCAGGTTGCGAATCACCTCGGGGTTGGTCATCCCTGGGGGGAAACACAGCCCAACAGGACTTATTCAGTGCCTTTGGAGGCGAAGCTCAGTGCTCCCAGTAGCTCCCGCTCAGGCAGAGCTGGAGGGGCAGGAGGGACTGTGATGCTAAGCCATACCTTGAAACCATCCCTTCTTCAGGTTGGTGCTCCCCACTCCATCCCTCTGTGCCCTCCCTGACTCCCCTCCATAGGTTTTTGCCTAGCACAGGTATAACAGGCTTGTGGGAAGGAACCCCAGCCTGAAGAGACAGGTGTGTGTGTCTGGCCACACGTGTGGGCACGTGTCTCCAAGCGTAAAGCAGCACTAGAGGCTTTGAAGTCAACGCGTGATCTTCCCCGCGTTCGCAACGCGCTGTACCTGGGTAAGGGATCCTGCCGTAGGTGATGATTTCCGTCAGGAGGATCCCGAAAGACCACACGTCGGATTTGATGGTGAAAACTCCAAAGTTAATGGCCTCCGGTGCTGTCCATTTGATCGGGAATTTGGCACCTGTCCAGAGGAAACAAAGCACTTGGAGGTGCAGCATTTCCATCTACTCCCATGGGAATGGGCAAGCAGTTCCCCAAAACTGGAGCCCTGGGTGCTATGGGCTTTTGACTGTACCACGGGGCTGTGGTGGGACTTCTTGAAGGAACTGTGGAGTTACGGAGATGAGGCCAGAGGAAGGTAATTGCTGCCTTTTATTAAAATGTCATTTCTAACTGGTGTCTCTTTGCATTTCTTGGCTCTTTTCCCCAGTGCAATCAAGGCTACTTCATCTTAGAAGACTTTTTCACATGTGTATGCTTTTAAACACCCGTAGAAGCTGATACACAGAGGCCAAATAATGAAAAAAAAAAGCCTTAAGTAACTAATAATAGCATAGAATCATTCAGGTTGGAAAAGACCTTTAAGATCATCAAGTCCAACAGTTAACCTTGCAACCCCAAACCCATCACTAAACCACATCCCTAGGCAGGAATATACGTATTAAAAAATTCTAGGTAAACTAGTTGACAAAGTTCCTTTGTTCTTGCACATCATTCTCTGACAAACAGACTGATGAGGCTCAGAAATACAATTTATGAAGTGAGAATTGTTCGAAGTAGCTAGAGAGGCAATTGCAATTTTAGATTAAAGCTAGCTGGAAAAATGCTGATAGGAGCTGTTTTCCACTGGAAATGTAACTCCTTTGGGTACGTTAACAGAATTATACCGATTTCATCAAAACTTAAGGATAAAAACTGTCTTAAAAAATTGTGGCAATCCCATAACGCCCCTTCCTGACATTTCACAAATTACATTCACAAGCTTTTACTACTTTGACATAGTTTTACATCCTGAAATGGGTATAATTAGTATCATAAAGTATTTTGGGACAGCAAACTGAAAGAAAAGTTCCCTATCTTATATGAAAAAAAATCTATTTTCTTTCCCCAGAGTATTTTTATGGGGTGTTTTATCTTCATCCCAAATCTAGAGGAGGAAAGAGTTCCAAAATTTGAAAACTCTTCCAAGTGCCACTTATGTCAGATGTAACTGTTTTATTTTAATAATTTCTGCTGGTTTCCCTGATGTCGTACAGTCTGTTTGCAATCTGAATGGCGCGATCTCAGAGAAAACACAAAGAAAAAGCTGCTGCCGGAGGAATTTGACTTAACCCTGTTGACAAATGATTGTAGAGGGGCCTCTGCACTAGCCAGATCAGTTGTCACCTCTCATGGCCATGCTCTGCTGTCCACCACCAGCTCAGCTGCTCAGTCCAGGCAAGGGGCTTGGCTTTGCAGGTGGAGTCATAGGGAGAATTCACATTAACATGAAAATATTCAGTTTTCTATGCTTTCTTTTTTTGTTAGTTTGTTTTGTTTCAGATGCTCGAGGTACTCTGTTCCCATGAGAAACACCTGCCAAGCTGCAAAGCTCTAAGCTGAATGGAGGGGACCTGATCTGGTCCAGACTTGGTTTGCCTGGGACATCTTGAAACTGCCATTAGGTCCAGATTCGTGGCTCCAGCTCCCCTCTGGCAGTGCAGTGACTGAGTTACATTGCTATTTCCTTCCCTTCCAACGGACTCGCTGTGAACACGTAGGCACAGGCAGGCAGGTTCCATTAGCAGAGGTCAAAT